GGGTTGTTAACCAATGTCATAAAACAACATGTGTACTACTGTTTCATGAGAAACTATTTGTTCTGTAAGCCTTCACCTGAAGTACAATAAAATATAAAAAAATGCTTGAAGTGCAATCTCCTATTACAGTTTTAATCAACATAAATTCTAACAATCAACATTGCTGACTGGTCTTTCACCGTTGTACACAGTAAAACCTGAGATCAATCTTTATAAAAAAAGGTGACAACTACATAAAGAAGTTTGTAGTAGAAGCCCCATTTAAAAACAGAAGAGTGGCATTTGTACTTTCTTCAACGTTTCCAAGAAGAATAAATGCATTCTAGATAGTATCTCCAAAAAGAAAGACAATACCAGAAAAACCAAAAGGATAAATATTAAGTTGGGCTTTAGCCACTCTCTCACACATGGTTTCACTCACCAATATGTCTTTCTTAATTTCTATTATTTATCTAGGTCATCTTCTAAGTCCAAATAAGCAGGCATTTTTAGCGCTTATATTTCAGGGTAGCAGCCAAATCAAAATTCTAAAAAAAAAAGAGGAAAAATAAAGTCACAGTATTATATAGCTATCACAGAGGTGACGTACTTTTGCAATGGAAGACAATGCAAATATTCCAAGTTATCAGGTCAACTTAAGCATCTTTACCTAGTTGCCGTAGAGTTAATTCTGACTGATGGCAACCCCATGTCTGTCAGAGTAGAACTGTGCTCCATAGGATTTTCTATGGTTGATTTTTTGGAAGTAGATTGCCAGGCCTTTCTTCCAAGGCACATCTGGGTGGATGTGAACCTCCAATCTCACCACCCTGGGACTCCTAAGCATCTTTAGAAGATGTTAAAAACAGGGTTTCCATTAAGTCTACAAAGAATAACTTTTCCTGAGATCTTAAATCACTCATCAACAAGCATTAAAAAGAGTGTGGAAGCAAACCTCAGTGACTGACCCCAGCTTCACTAAGAATCATGAAACTGGGAGCACGAGCCTTAGAGGACTCCCTCTACCTTCATTTCTAAACTTGTCAAATTAAGATGAATTAATATCATGTCACTATGTTTAGAGCCAAAAACAAAAGTAAAGACAAGACCCACTTCTCTAACAGAATTTCAAAATTAGTTTTTAAACTTTCTTAAGTATAAAGTTTTTCCAATTTTATCTATAATATCTATACATTATATTTTCACTACATTTTCAGTTTAAGTTTTAAAGTATTCTTTATTGTAAACATAGAATTTATGCTTAGAAAGTGCATACTTTTAGCATGCATTCAGAAAAAAAACGCCGAGACACTATTTAAACCTAGAACCAAGCCTATCCTGAGATCACCTTTTAGCGAAATAGCAGAGCAGCACACAAAATTAAGGATATTACCTGTAAGATCAGTGCTCTATTTAAAAACCATCTGTACAAGATCTAACAATCAACAATTACCCAAAAGCAAAGATGAGGAGACAAGGGTGTAGGAAAACTAGAGTGCTGAAAATGAAACAAGCAGAACACAATTAAAGACAATGTTGACACATCGTAATAAATGTAACTAAAGTCACTGAAAAATTTACCTGGTAATAAATGTAACTAAAGTCACTGAAGAATTTACGTGGAAATTGTCAAATGGGAACCTAATCTGCTGTGTAAACTTCCACCACAAACTCAATCAAACATTATTTTAAAAAAAAATTAACCATATATCAGGCCATAAAGAAAATTTCAATAAACTCAAAAAGCAGAAATAGGACGGTCAACATACTCTGATGAGAATGTACTGAAATTACAAATTTAAAATAAAATCAAGAAACAAAGACCTTTCTACCTTAAAACAACAACAACCCCTTGAACTTTTGGGTTAAAAAAAAAACGTGTCAAAACGACAAAATTTCTAGAAAACAATAAGAAAAATAATACATATGAGAACTTAAAGAAAACAGCTAAACCAGGAAAAAAGAAAATTCACAGGCATAAATACCTACATTAGGAAAAAAATGAGTTAAAGAACTGACTCAAAAAGTTAGGGGAAAAAAACAATAAAGTGAACTGAAAGAAAGTAAAATGAGAGGCGGGGCCAAGATGGTGGCGTAGTCAGATGCTTCCGGTGGTCCCTCTTACAATAAAGACCCGAAAAAACAAGTGAATCAATTATATATGACAATCTAGGAGCCCTGAACATCTAAGGCAAAGTTAAGGAATTGTACTGAGTGGCAGGAGAGGAGAGACGGTTCAGAAGCAGCGAGGAGTTGCCAGACAAGGCAGGAGCCAGTGCCCGGCAGGCTGGATTGGCTGGCATGTGCAGTGAGGTGGGCAATGGCGTTTGGGAAGCGTTATCCACGTCAGGAGAGACCAAGAGGCAGAGAGTCTGCTCAGGCCTCCAGAGCCAGTGAAAAGCAGCACTCAACTGGCAAAAGATGTGTACATGCTGTGGATCAAAAAACACCCCGTTTGGGAAGACCTCTCTCCTATTTACCTACTCCCTCCCTGCTCTGCACCAGGTCCTGGGCCAGTCTGAATGACTGCTGAGTCCCCTGGGCTGAAAGTAGGACCCGTCACATGCCCTGAGCTATTTTCCCAGCCCTGGGGAGGGAACAAATTAACAAACTGGAAAAAATAATCTGCCAGCTCCTTTAAGCTGGGAACTCAGGGCAGGCAGAGCTCCTCTGCCTAGGAACAGGCATAAGGGGCCCATGGACGTTGAATGCCTTTCACCCCTGCATAGACCTATGTGGACCCATTTCAACAGCGTAGGCCCTCATTAGTACAGTACAACAGGGTATATACCTGAGGCCTGAATTCACTGTGATCAGCTATATAGTGCAGTGGCAGGTTTGTGACATGTGATCCCACTCTGCCCATTAAGCAGGGTCCTCACCTATCCACATCAGGGGCCTGAGGACTGGTGGCTCCACCCACGCCACGCAGCCACCTGCATCAGCAGTCCAAGAATAAGTGGTGCCTCCCAGTCCTTACAGCCAACAGCAATGGGTGCCCATAATCCAGCTGCAAAACCCACACAACTACAGGGTCTACGGAACAGGGACATGCTTTCCTCCCAGATACTCAGGGCAGCCGTCAGCCCCCTGCCTTGCTAAGCACATGACCCTCTACTGCAGCCAGATACCTGTGCCTACTCCAATCACACCTCCCTGTCTAGGACTGTAGGTGAGAGCTGCACCACACACTTGAGGATCGATTATCTAGACACCTGAGCTGAATCCATACAAGAAAAGTAAACGGACTCCTGGGCTCACATACCTACTGACAGATCTAACCACCTGGTGGCAGGGATGTTAGAGCTTGAAAGGCGCCAGTAATCTAACTAGCTCATACAAGCAGCCTATTTTGGCATATCAAACAAAACAAAACAAGAAGCTAGGACACAGTAAGCAAACATAAAATAAATATAATAACTTATTGATGACTTGGAGACAACAGTCAATATCAAATCACATAAAGGGGCAGACCATGATGGCTTCCACAAGCTCACAACAGAATGAATCAAGAAATTTTCCGGAGGATGAGAACTTCTTGGAATTACCAGAGGTAGAATAAAAAAGTTAACATACAGAACTTTTCAAGAGATCAGGAAGGAGATCAGGCAAAATGCAGAACAAGCCAAGGAACATACAGACAAAGCAACAGAGGAACTTAAGAAGATTAGAGAAGAGCACAATGACAAATTTAACAGGCTGCAAGAATCCACAGAGAGAAAACAGAAATCCAGAAGATTAACAATAAAATTTCAGAATTAGACAACTCAATAGAAAGTCATAGGAGCAGAATTGAGGCAATGGAAGTCAGAATTAGT